AGGACAAGGAGGAGGAGGAGGACGAGGAGGAGGAGGAGGACGAGGAGGAGGACGAGGAGGACAAGGAGGAGGAGGAGGAAGAGGAGGAGGAGGACGAGGAGGACGAGGAGGGAGAGGAGGACGAGGAGGAGGAGGAGGACGAGGAGGAGGAGGAGGAGGACGAGGAGGACAAGGAGGAGGAGGAGGAAGAGGTGCTGGGTGTAAAAGTCTATGGGAGGATCTTCTATAGGTCCAAGCTGTTAATCATTCTGGGGATATGTTTTAACAGGCGTTCCCTTTGAGGCCAGTTCTTTCCTAAACCTTTCCTGTCGGGACAATCCTCAGAGAGTGTGTGTCCTCTGCATTTGACCCGTCCTTCAATGCCACGAGGCCCACCTGGTCTGGCCCACCTGGTCTGACCCACCTGGTCTGACCCACCTGGTCTGACCCATGTGCGTGCGTGTGACATGTGTGTGACATGTGCGTGCGTGTGACATGTGTGTGACATGTGCGTGCGTGTGACATGTGTTTGACATGTGCGTGCATGTGACATGCGTGTGACATGTGCGTGCGTGTGGCGTGTGTGTGTGTGACGTGTGCGTGACATGTGCGTGCGTGTGACATGTGTGTGACGTGTGCGTGACGTGTGCGTGACGTGTGCGTGATGTGTGCGTGACGTGTGCGTGACATGTGCGTGACATGTGCGTGCATGTGACATGCGTGTGACATGTGCGTGCGTGTGGCGTGTGTGTGTGTGACGTGTGCGTGACATGTGCGTGCGTGTGACATGTGTGTGACGTGTGCGTGACGTGTGCGTGATGTGTGCGTGACGTGTGCGTGACATGTGCGTGACATGTGTGTGACATGTGCGTGAAATGTGTGTGACATGTGCGTGACATGTGTGTGGCATGTGCGTGACATGTGCGTGACATGTGTGTGACATGTGCGTGACATGTGCGTGAAATGTGCGTGACATGTGCGTGGCATGTGCGTGACATGTGTGTGACATGTGCGCGACATGTGCGTGACATGTGTGTGACATGTGCGTGACGTGTGTGACGTGTGCGTGACATGTGCGTGACATGTGCGTGCGTGTGACATGTGTGTGACGTGTGTGTGACATGTGTGTGACGTGTGTGTGACGTGTGTGTGACATGTGTGTGACATGTGCGTGCGTGTGTGTGACTGTGTGTGTGACGTGTGTGTGACGTGTGTGTGACGTGTGTGTGACGTGTGCGTGACGTGTGCGTGACGTGTGCGTGACGTGTGCGTGACGTGTGCGTGACGTGTGCGTGACGTGTGTGTGACGTGTGTGTGACGTGTGTGTGACGTGTGTGTGACGTGTGTGTGACGTGTGTGTGACGTGTGTGTGACGTGTGTGTGTGTGTGTGTGTGTGCGTGTGTGTGACGTGTGTGTGACGTGTGTGTGACGTGTGTGTGACGTGTGTGTGGCGTGTGTGTGGGTGTGTGTGGCGTGTGTGTGACGTGTGTGTGACGTGTGTGTGACGTGTGTGTGACGTGTGTGTGACGTGTGTGTGACGTGTGTGTGTGGACGTGTGTGTGACGTGTGTGTGACGTGTGTGTGACGTGTGTGTGACGTGTGTGTGACGTGTGTGTGACGTGTGTGTGACGTGTGTGTGACGTGTGTGTGACGTGTGTGTGACGTGTGTGTGACGTGTGTGTGACGTGTGTGTGACGTGTGTGTGACGTGTGTGTGACGTGTGTGTGACGTGTGTGTGTGACGTGTGTGTGACGTGTGTGTGACGTGTGTGTGACGTGTGTGTGACTGTGTGTGACGTGTGTGTGACGTTGTGTGACTGTGTTGACGTGTGTGTGACGTGTGTGTGACGTGTGTGTGACGTGTGTGTGACATGTGTGTGACGTGTGTGTGACATGTGTGTGACGTGTGTGTGACATGTGTGTGACATGTGTGTGACGTGTGTGTGACATGTGTGTGACGTGTGTGTGTGACATGTGTGTGACATGTGTGTGACGTGTGTGTGACATGTGTGTGACGTGTGTGTGACATGTGTGTGACGTGTGTGTGACGTGTGTGTGACATGTGTGTGACGTGTGTGTGTGACATGTGTGTGACATGTGTGTGACGTGTGTGTGACATGTGTGTGACGTGTGTGTGAGTGTGTGTGACGTGTGTGTGACGTGTGTGTGACGTGTGTGTGACGTGTGTGTGACATGTGTGTGACGTGTGTGTGACATGTGTGTGACATGTGTGTGACGTGTGTGTGACGTGTGTGTGACATGTGTGTGACATGTGTGTGACATGTGTGTGACGTGTGTGTGTGACATGTGTGTGACATGTGTGTGACGTGTGTGTGTGACATGTGTGTGACGTGTGTGTGACGTGTGTGTGACATGTGTGTGACGTGTGTGTGACATGTGTGTGACAGGACACTCACGAGGGCCGGTCCTCCAGGATCAGGGCTGTGGTCGACAGAGGCTCAAACTCCAGGTTCTTCCTTCGAGACGAAGAGGACGAGGGAGGCTCAGTGGGATCTGTGTGAGACTCATCCTGGAGAGGGACACACACACACACACACACAGACAGACACACACACACACACAGAGACAGAGACACACAGAGACAGAGACACACAGAGACAGAGACACACAGACAGACACCGATACACACAGAGACACAGACAGACACACACCGATACACACAGACACACAGACAGAGACACACACAGACACACACACACAGACACACACTTTAGTTCACATTGCCATCACTAATAAGTAGATTTCCCTGGTCTCAGAGTTTAACCAATTATTTTTCAAACTTTGATACACAAAGGTCTATTCTTTTTGAAGCTTGTATTTTAAAACGACTTGTTACTTTGTCGATGTAAATGGATCATAAAAACAGATTAAAAGTGGTTAGCCAAGTTTCTAAGTGAATGAATAGTTAGCAGTGCTTCTAAGTTCCACGTTTTTGTTTGCTACATCCTCAGCGTGAAACATCCACAGTGCGATGTGGAGGTGTTTTAAAGGTCGCATAAATATAAAAGCTTGTAATGTTATCAGAGTCGTTTAAACAAATGCATCTAAACTTTTACTGAAGAACCAAAGAGTCGTACTTTAGCTTTAGCCTGATTCACTCCTTTGATAAAAACAGTTCCTTTAAATGCAGCACAGTGACTTTCAGTCGTTCTCTTTCTGCTCCGTCCTTCACTCTGCTCCGAGTTTAAAGACGTCTTTGTCCAGTCTCCAGACTGAGGCTCCTCTGTGTCTCTCTCTGTGGTCTCTCTCTCTCGTCTCTCTCTCGTCTCTCTCTCGTCTCTCTCTCGTCTCTCTCTCGTCTCTCTCTCGTCTCTCTCTCGTCTCTCTCTCGTCTCTCTCTCGTCTCTCTCTCGTCTCTCTCTCGTCTCTCTCTCGTCTCTCTCTCGTCTCTCTGGTCTCTGTCTCGTCTCTCTCTTACACACAATAGGTCTGAATGTAAATGAGAGAGTGAATGGATGGTGTTGGAGCTGATGGTCCAGTGTAAGTAAGTAAGCTTTTATTTATATACCGCCTTTTCACTGCACATCGGAGTCTCAAAGCGGTTTACAATTGTTGGGAGCGGGGCCAGTACAGGAGGCACATGCCAGACCTATTGTACATATTTTTAGTGGTAGGGGAAACCGGAGCACCCGGAGGAAACCTACGCAGACACGGGGAGAACATGTAAACTCCACTCAGAAAGGCCCTGGTCCAAACGGGATTCAAACCCAGGACCTTCTTGCTGAGAGGCGAGAGTGCTATCCACTCAGCCACCGTGCCACCCAGTGTGTTCTGGACTCGCTTCTGTCATCACCGTGTGTGGAAGGATTGGAACAATATCTGACTCTGAACATTGGAAAGTGCTTTGGGTCTGTACCTTGGTCTGTAACATGTGCTATATAAATAAACATTACTCTCGTCTCTCTCATGTAGAACAGTGTTTCTCAACCAGTGCATCTTTTTCTAAATATTGTGATTGTTTTGCTTGAGGAAAAAACAGAGATATTATAAGACCAAACATAAGGCCTTACAGATGTGTGTATGAGTTTTGAGCCGATGTATTTGGAAAGCCCACATAACAATCTAAATGAAGTGTTTTTTTGTGCAAACATTAAAGGTGGATTTCCCCAGGGTTCATGGTCCGATCCCGACGCCCTGCTCTGGTCTTTTAGGTTCTTAAATGCAGCTGTCTGAACAGAGGACGCCTGTGCTCCCTCTGTGTGGATCCCTCTGTGTGTGTGTGCTATACTGGCTCTGGTCCTGGGCTGCAGAAGACTGGGTACAGGGCTAACTATCTGGGTTTCACCAATCTGGCAACCCAATCTGGCAACCCAAATGGACCTCCCTTTGGATAATGCTTAGACAATGTTATCGAGCCTTCTCTATTCAGGGTCCACGGCTCTGGAACAAGCTGCCAGAGGAGAGAGACCAGAGAGAGAGACCAGAGAAAGAAAAGAGAGAGAGACCAGAGAGAGACCAGAGAGAGAGCAGAGAGAGACCAGAGAGAGACCAGAGAGAGACCAGAGCGAGACCAGAGACAGAGACCAGAGAGAGACCAGAGCGAGACCAGAGACAGATGACCTGCCAGGGGAATTAAGACTATCAGTACTTCTTTAAAAACCCTCTTTTATTGTTCGTCTTTTTCAAACTTCACATGTTGTATTTTGCTTTATTCTGTGTTTTTATTGCCCAAACTGACTGTGTTGCACTTTGTAAACGCAGTATTTGAAAAGTGCTAAAGAAATAAAGGTGTATTATCATGATGTAAACAGTACAGACCTGTGGAGAGTCCTCCGGCTGCGCACTGGGGTCGCTCTCCTTTGGCGATTTGCCGAACAGTCTCCAGCCTGTTGCATTGTGGGACGACACCTTGGTCTCTTTGGGTTTCCTAGAAAACAGGCTCCTGAAAGAGAGGAAGAAACCACAGACTCAGACCCAGACCCAGACCCAGACCCAGGTTCAGGCTCAGAACATGTGACGCTGGACACAATAGTGCTGTTGATAAGATTCAGAGGAATCATTTCCAGGAGATCAGCACCACAGACAGCGCTTTATCAACTCTCTGGACTTTGAAATGTATTCTTTGTTCCACTCGACACACACAAAGATACACACAAACACACACACAACCATCACATGAAGGATACACTCCCTGAAACTATGTGAATGAAAAGGTTTCTGATCAGACACAGGCTGTATCTGAGGGTTAGGGTTATTCCCTATATAGTGCACTATATAGTGCCCCCTTGAACCTTTCAACATTTCGCCACATTTCAGGCTTCAAACATAAAGATATAACATTTTAATTTTTTGTCATGAATCAACAACAAGTGGGACACAATCGTGAAGTGGAACGAAATGTATTGGATAATTTAAACTTTTTTAACAAATAAAAAACTGAAAAGTGGGGCGTGCAATATTATTGGGCCCCTTTACTTTCAGTGCAGCAAACTCACTCCAGAAGTTCAGTGAGGATCTTTGAATGATCCAATGTTGTCCTAAATGACTGATGATGATAAATAGAATGTACCTGTGTGTAATCAAGTCTCCGTATAAATGCACCTGCTCTTTGATAGTCTCAGGGTTCTGTTTAAAGCACAGAGAGAACCATGAAGACAAAGGAACACACCAGGCAGGTCCGAGATACTGTTGTGGAGAAGTTTAAAGCCGGATTTGGATACAAAAAGATTTCCCAAGCTTTAAACATCTCAAAGAGCACTGTGCAAGCAATTATATTGAAATGGAAGGAGTATCAGACCACTGCAAATCTACCAAGACCCGGCCGTCCCTCCAAACTTTCATCTCAAACAAGGAGAAGACTGATCAGAGATGCAGCCAAGAGGCCCATGATCACTCTGGATGAACTGCAGATAACTACAGCTGAGGTGGGAGAGTCTGTCCATAGGACAACAGTCAGTCGTGCACTGCACAAATCTGGCCTTTATGGAAGAGTGGCAAGAAGAAAGCCATTTCTCAAAGATATCCATAAAAAGTCTTGTTTAAAGTTTGCCACAAGCCACCTGGGAGACACACCAAACATGTGGAAGAAGGTGCTCTGGTCAGATGAAACCAAAATCAAACTTTTTGGCCACAATGCAAAACGATATGTTTGGCGTAAAAGCAACACAGCTCATCACCCTGAACACACCATCCCCACTGTCAAACATGGTGGTGGCAGCATCATGCTTTGGGCCTGCTTTTCTTCAGCAGGGACAGGGAAGATGGCTAAAATTGATGGGAAGATGGATGGAGCAAAATACAGGACCATTCTGGAAGAAAACCTGTTGGAGTCTGCAAAAGACCTGAGACTGGGACGGAGATTTATCTTCCAACAGGACAATGATCCAAAACATAAAGCCAAATCTACAATGGAATGGTTCACAAATAGACGTATCCAGGTGTTAGAATGGCCAAGTCAAAGTCCAGACCTGCATCCAATCCAGAATCTGTGGAAAGAGCTGAAGACTGCTGTTCACAAACGCTCTCCATCCAACCTCACTGAGCTCCAGCTGTTTTGCAAGGAAGAATGGGCAAGAATTCCAGTCTCTCGATGTGCAAAACTGATAGAGACATACCCCAAGCGACCTGCAGCTGTAATTGCAGCAAAAGGTGGCGCCACAAAGTATTAGCGCAAGGGGCCGAATAATATTGCAAGCCCCACTTTTCAGTTTTTTATTTGTTAAAAAAGTTTAAATTATCCAATAAATTTTGTTCCACTTCATGATTGTGTCCCACTTGTTGTTGATTCTTGACAAAAAATTAAAATGTTATATCTTTATGTTTGAAGCCTGAAATGTGGCAAAATGTTGAAAGGTTCAAGGGGGCCAAATACTTTCGCAAGGTACTGTAGTGCACTATATAGGGCCCTATAGTGCCCTATATAGTGCACTATATAGTGCACTATAGGGCCCAATATAGTGCGTGAGAGGATAGGGTACAGTGTGGACATTCAGCCACAGTTTCTTCAGACCATGACTGTGGTCTTGGTGTCAAACATCAGACCCTCTGAACCAGACTGTTTCTTTGTAAGGATTCACTTTAAGACGTATAAACTATAACTACTAGTATAAACTCAGCTGCTGCCAATGATTGTATCACAGATTAATCCTGGAAACCTTTCAGTTCATGAATCGATGGTGATTTTATCTAAATTGGAAAAGAATGCAGTTAATCCACAGTGATTAGCTGCGGTCACAAGAGGACGGTCTAATTAGTGCGGCACAATCCATTCTTATCAATTATAGTTTATTACTCCGCTGGAGGAGGTGTGTGTCTGTGTGTGTCTCTGTGTGTGCATGTCTGTGTGGGTCTCTGTGTGTGCATGTCTGTGTCTGTGTGGGTCTGTGCATGTCTGTGTGTGTCTCTGTGTGTGCATGTCTGTGTCTGTGTGTGTGTGGGTCTGTGCATGTCTGTGTGTGTCTCTGTGTGTGCATGTCTGTGTGGGTCTCTGTGTGTGCATGTCTGTGTCTGTGTGGGTCTGTGCATGTCTGTGTGTGTCTCTGTGTGTGCATGTCTGTGTCTGTGTGTGTGGGGGTCTGTGCATGTCTGTGTGTGTCTCTGTGTGTGCATGTCTGTGTCTGTGTGTGTGTGTGTCTGTACATGTCTGTGTGAGTGCATGTCTGTGTGTGCATGTCTGTGTGAGTGTGTCTCTGTGTATGTGTGTGCGTCTGTGCAAGTGTCTCTGTGTGTGCGTGTCTATGTGTGTGTGTCTGTGCATGTCTGTGTGTGTCTCTGTGTGTGCATGTCTGTGCGAGTGTGTGTCTGTGCATGTCTGTGTGTGTGTGTGTGTGCATGTCTGTGTGAGTGTGTCTCTGTGTGTGTGTGTCTGTGCGTGTCTATGTGTGTGTGTCTGTGCGAGTGTGTCTCTGTGTGTGTGTGTCTCTGGGTGTGTCTCCGGGTGTGTCTCTCGGTGTGTCTCCGGGTGTGTGTGTCTCTGGGTGTGTCTCCGGGTGTGTCTCCGGGTGTGTCTCCGGGTGTGTCTCTCGGTGTGTCTCCGGGTGTGTGTGTCTCTGGGTGTGTCTCCGGGTGTGTCTCCGGGTGTGTCTCTCGGTGTGTCTCCGGGTGTGTGTGTCTCTGGGTGTGTCTCCGGGTGTGTCTCCGGGTGTGTCTCCGGGTGTGTCTCCGGGTGTGTCTCCGGGTGTGTCTCTCGGTGTGTCTCCGGGTGTGTGTGTCTCTGGGTGTGTCTCCGGGTGTGTCTCCGGGTGTGTCTCTGGGTGTGTCTCCGGGTGTGTCTCTCGGTGTGTCTCTGTGTGTGTGTGTCTCTGGGTGTGTCTCCCTGTGTGTGTCTCCCTGTGTGTGTCTCTCTGTGTGTGTCTGTGCAGTGTGTCTTATCAGTTGTAATCAGTTCGCTCTCCCTGTTCTTTCTAAAGGCTTTGGTCCAATCAGAATCAGTCTCTCTCTTCTGGTCACACCTGTTTTTGCCCCGTAACGAGAAGATAAAGAATAATTTCACGACAAAGGCTGAGATTAGAGCGAAACTCTAAGGCCCTGTTTATACTGAGACGCTGCGCAGACGTTTCCAGGCTATTAACAGAAACGACCTGGCTCCTAATGCAAATTTCTCAGCGTTCACTTGAGGTTGAAAAACGATGTAGTTCTAGCGCCTGGCCAGTAGGGGGCAGAGAAACTTTACAACACTCACACGACCCCCAGCCCCGTGCCCAGCCCCCTCTCTGCAGTGTACTCACTTCCTGTGCCAGACCCTCAGGACGCACCAGCATCATTCTGCATTTTAACAGCAGCTGTGAAAATGGAAACTGAACCTAGAGCTTCGCGTGGTCTCGTTTGGACGAACGAAGGAGTAGAATTATCCTCTGTGCTGTGCTCGAAGCCCACGAAGCTAGCTAGTGCGACCGCCGCCATTGTTGTTTATGTTTGTTCTCCGCTACTGCGCATGTCCAAATGTACGTGTGGGAGCAGCAGGAGGCGGGGGTCAGAGCAGAGGGGGATTTCACACCTGTTCCCTCTCGCGGGTGTGAAAGAGCCCCCGCTGTGCAGCGTTTCTGACTTGTTCCACTCTGCAGGCTGGATCTGAACACTTAAGCTTAGCGTACATGGGACTGGCATATGATTATATCCGTCGCATATGAGTTACTGCCCCGCACACATCGACAATCTGACGAAAACGGGCAACTCCCAGTATCAGACCAGTCTGGGGAATAACAGCGCGTACATCGACAGCAACTGGCCTCAACTACAGTGTGTTTCTGACATAAACTGTTGCGGGCGCAATACACGCAATACACACACGTTGTCGGAGCGGCGCATGGAGCGCGCACATCGGGTCATATCTCCAAAACTGAGGACAACTAGTTGCCGAAAAGTAGAACACGGGCAACTGACTGGAACTGGAGACCGACTGATCATCTCCAGTTGTAAGAGCGCTCACATCGACCGATTTCAACTGATCATCTCCATCATCTCCTCTCAGTCGCCAAAAGCCGCCTTCAACTAGTTGTCTCCAGTTTCTCTGTCGATGTACGCTAGGCTTTACGTTTTCACCTGGAACAGTCTCCGTATGAACGGTTGGTAGCAACCGACATCATACTATACCGTTTTACTGCCACATTGTCTCCGTGTAAACTCAGCCTCAGTCACGTGGACCTGATCTGATTTATTTGTTTAACCGTAGTACAACGCTCAGTCCAGCTGGTGGCGCTAATACTAACTTCAGTAGAGTTACCGTTTCTCTTCCCGTTTACACTCTGCTCCTGTGGCCACAGCCGCAGCTCGGATCGTTCTGTACATCAGAGTCAACGTGAATAAGTCTGAGATGTGTCTCGTCTCATTTAGAGTGTGAGTGTGTGTGTGTGTGTGTGTGTTTGACCACAAAATTAAGTGTGACTCTTGAACGTCTGAAGTGTTTTTGAAACAGCACCACACTGTGACAGCGAGGGTCAGAACTGTGAGGAGAGAGAGAGAGAGTGAGGAGAGAGAGAGAGAGAGCATGGGAGGAGAGAGTGTGTGAGGAGAGAGAGAGAGTGTGAGGAGAGAGAGAGAGAGAGCATGGGAGGAGAGAGCG